GAGCAGGGAGCCCGATGCGGGACTCGATCCCGGGACTCCAGGATCATGACCTGAGCCGGAGGCAGTCGCTTAACCAACTGAGCCACCCAGGCACCCTACATTAAAATAATTTAACTGGCAGAAATGGTAAGTTGTGGTAGGACCTTTTATCTTGGACAGCCAGTAACTAAGATTGGGCCTGTGTTGGCAGTTATATTTGAAAACAGGCGTTTGGTCTTCCCATATAACATTTGATCCTTTATACCATAATCAGATCTATCAGGTGTATAGGATGTGGGGAATCTCTTTTCCCTGCATGTAAAGCACCTGAGATGATGCAGGGGATTAGTATTTCACTCTTTATGCCTTTTATTTGTCACTAAATCCCATGCTTGATGATAGCAAACAAAAATGAAGTCAGAAAAGAACTTTATACATGGTACCATGTGGTAGGTGGACTAGATAATTCTCCTGATTTTTCTTAATAACAGTAATATTCTATCTATAATCAGACTTAAGGGAGCCTTTGATTTTTCATCTTGGAATTTTATGATCACTAAATTATAGCTGAAGATAATTCCATTCATAGCATCATACTCTTTTTTTTTTAAGATTTATTTATTTATTTGAGAGAGAGAGAGCGTGTGCATGCGAGTGGGGAGAGGGGCAGAGGGAGAGGGAGAGAGAGAATCCCAAGCCAACTCTGAGGAGGAGCGAGGAGCCTGACTCGGCTCAATCCCACAACCCTGAGATCATGACCTGAGCTGAAACCAGGAGTTGGTCACTTAACTGACTGAGCCACCCAGGCACCCCATGACATCATACCTTTTACATAATGATGAATATTGTCATAAGTGTATTATTTGATTAAAAAAATCATATTCTCTAGACATTTATCTTCTGGGATAATCTGCAGAGTACTCAGATAAGGTGGCTACTAAAATCAGTAGCTGAATTGTGGCTATTATGTTTCTTCACTTGTTGGCAAAAGGATAATTATACAACTCTTAGTTTCTCAAGCTTTTAGCAAGACACTTTAGTGAAGAAATGAGTTGATGTTTTTTTTTTTTTTTTAAGATTTTATTTATTTATTTGAGAGAGAGAGAACGAGAGATAGCACAAGAGGGAAGAGGGTCAGAGGGAGAAGCAGACCCCCCGCCAAGCAGGGAGCCCGACGTGGGACTCGATCCCGGGACTCCAGGATCATGACCCGAGCCGAAGGCAGTCGCCTAACCAACTGAGCCACCCAGGCGCCCATGAGTTGATGTTTTTGAGAACATTTTAATGTGTATAATTACTGGAGCTGCTATCTCTTATCACATCTCATTGATACTTAGAGAATATTTATATTTAGCCTTACCTTGCTGGTCTTTAGTAACTTCTGGGAGCTTCACTGTGAAATGTGGTTTTCGGGGTGCCTGGCTGGCTCAGTCGGTAGAGCATGCGATTCTTGATCTTGGGGTTCAGTTCAAGCCCCACATTGGGCATAGAGATTACGTTAAAAAAAATGTGGCTTTAAGATTCACTTGTATAGGGCCATAGGATAGTTTTCTTTGTATGTGTGCGTGTTTTATTTTGGATGTTTTTGCAATTTTTAAATTACTTTAAACGTCATTGACTGTAAATGTATTAGTTATATCAGAAATACTCTATAGTTTTCATAAAGAGTGTTTACTTTTTTTCTTGTAACGTGGATTCCCAGATCTGTAAGTCAGGATGCAGTTGTACTTTTTTTCCCCTTTTCTTTCTTTCTTTTTTTTTTTTTTTTAAAGATTTTATTTATTTGAGAGAGAGAGAATGAGAGATAGAGAGCATAAGAGGGAAGAGGGTCAGAGAGAGAAGCAGACTCCCTGCCGAGCAGGAAGCCCGATGTGGGACTCGATCCCGGGACTCCAGGATCATGCGCCCGAGCCGAAGGCAGTCGCTTAACCAACTGAGCCACCCAGGCGCCCCATCTTTTTTTTTTTGGAAGGAGTGCACTCATGTGAGTGGGGGTAGGGGTGGTAGAGGGGGAGAGAGAATCTTAAGCAGGCTCCATGCTTGGTGTGGAGCCTGACACAAGGCTTGATCTCACAACCTTGAGGTCATGCCCTGAGCTGAAATCAAGAATCAGTTGCTTAACTGACTGAGCCACCCAGGCGCCCCACAAGTGTACTTTCTTATATTCGGTAGCAATTTTTCACGTATCATACTGCCTGAAAGGTCGTATTTGAGGTACCATATTTCATTGATTCTGAGATGGCATTGATTATAAGATGCATTATTATTTTCTGTATTACTTGGAAAGAAACGTGCTTCCTATTAAACTGACATACTTTTTTTTTTTTTAGATTGATTTATTTGAGAGCATATGTGAGCATTGGCGGGGGAGGGGCAGAGGGAGAGGGAAAGAGAGTCTTAAGCGGACTCCGCACTGAGTGTAGAGCGCCACACGGACTCAATCTCATGACCCTGAGATCACCACCTGAGGCAAAACCACGAGTCGGATGCTTAACTGACTGAGCCATCCAGGCACCCTCAACTGACATGCCTTTGATTATAAAATGCATCTCAGTTTCAGAGATGTTAATGTGAAAAACTGTGCAACTTAGTGCAACTCTTGATGAGTTATGGTAATAGTACCACCTAAAATTTGCCTAAAGCTTTATAGAAAGCACTTATACATGTGTCATCTGATTTGATCCTTAAACTAAAACTATTCTATGAGGTGGATTAAATTATTCCCAGTTTTCAGATGAGGAACATCTCCCAGCATGCCATTCAGTAGTGAACTAAGGTTTCAAGCTCACATTTTCTTACTCTGAAACTCATGACATGATTGACAGTATCAGCCCCCCCGCCCCATACATGCCCATACAGCTCTAAAACTTTCGGTCCTTTGCCAGGCTAATGTACATGTTTAAACTTCACTGATCTTAAAACTGTTCATATGTCTTGATTCTAATGATAGGGTTGAATACTATTAAAATTATTGTTTTAATGGTAAATTATGTGTGACTATTTGCTAATAAACGAATTGTTTTAATTCTGGGTTCCTCACCACCGGGAAGCTATATAGGCCATCATTAGTGGTTTAATACATGTTTTGAAAGCAGTTTATGTTTCTAGCTGACTAGGTAAAATGTTCAGGAATGGTTATGAGTTGAGATCTATGAAGTGATCCAGAGAAGATTAAGTATTTGTTTATAATTGTACTGTTCTTGCTAAATCAAGGTCATGTCTGTTTCTTTCCCAGGTGGTGGCTAATGCTGTAGCAGCATTATCTGAAATCAGTGAATCTCACCCAAACAGCAACCTACTTGATCTGAACCCACAGAACATTAATAAGCTGCTGACAGCCCTGAATGAGTGCACTGAATGGGGCCAGATTTTCATCTTGGACTGCCTGTCTAATTACAACCCTAAAGATGACCGGGAGGCTCAGAGGTCAGTTCTGTTTTCCTGGATAGTGTCTGGGAGACTTGCCTGTTTGAATAAGTTCTACTGTCTGTATTAGAATAAGGGTCTCTTGTGTTGGCAAAGATCAGTGGCTTGTGGGGTAGATACTGCTATCCCTGTGGTATTTTCTCACTGGATTTAGGAACATTTTAGGTGGTGGATTGAACCATGCAAAAATAGCTCTTCCTAAAAGATGTGTATTTTTCATTTCTTGTTTGAATACTACAGTTACCTTCTGCTAAAATCTCCCTCATCGTGGTCCCACATCCCCCATACAGCAATTTCTGGCCATTTGGCACACAAAGGTTTTTTGAGTGTCCCATCGTAGTGACAAACTTTTTATTCTATTAGATACATAGTAAGTGGCTTGATACTAGTTACTGAGCTGAACTATACCTGTAATTCAGTAGTAGAGAAAATGTATTGAAGCCCGCAAAATGTATGGTGTCTTTCATTAGATACAGAAATCACGTCAGTCTGATTTTGGAAAAGAATTTGGAAGGCACACCTGGATTGTTCTTCTCAGCCCTTTACCAAGTTCACTGTTAAAAATTGTCTTTGACCTTCACAAATTGACTATTAAATTTCATATGCACTTACACACATTTTAGTTTACAGAGTTGGAATTACCACCAATTTTTATTGCGCGTTCTGTATATATAGGCACTGTACTAGGTAAAGTACTTCGGAAGAACTGTTGGCTCTTCGTTAAAGTTGACATATTTTAATTATGGTAGATAGGAACCTTTCTTGCCTGGCTGAAGCTCAAGTTACCATAACGTAAGTTCTCTTCACTTGTCTGGGAAATTGTTCCCTCTGAACCTAACTAAAGCTCACCCTGATTGTTTCTTTCCATTATCAAAAGTACAAGTACCTTAAAAAAAAAAAAAAAAGTACAAATATCTTATGGAAAGACCTTTATATAGAATTTTATTTTTTGTTGGTCAGTGACATCTCACACTTACTTGTACATTCACTTAGCAAATATTTATTGAGTCTGTGCTGCATGCCAGGCATCGTTCTAGGCCCTGGGGATATACTGTCGACAGAATCGTAGCCCTGCTTGCTTTTAAAAATTTTTCATTTTTGGGGCACCTGGGTGGCTCAGTCATTAAGCGTCTACCTTCAGCTCAGGTCATGATCCCAGGGTCCTGGGATCAAGCCCCACATCGGGCTCCCTGCTCCGCGGGAAGCCTGCTTCTCCCTCTCCCACTCCCCCTGCTTGTGTTCCTGCTCTCGCTATCTCTCTCGCTCTGTCAAATAAATAAAATCTTAAAAAAAAAAAAAAAAAAAAAGAATCGTAGCCCTCATGGAACACTTATTCTGAGGGATGGGGCAAAAGTATATATAATACAATATATAATATGTCAGAGGATGATAAGCCCTAACAGGAAATATAAAGTAGGGAGGAGATCTAAGAAATGCTGGGCCTTTGGGGATGAGGAATTGTATTTTGTAAAAGGGTACTCAGGGAAGGTCGCTGAGAAGGTGGCATTTGTATAAAGACCTGAGGGAAGTCGGGGAGTCAGCCAGTTAGATACTGGAGGAAGAGAGAGAAACCCCACTTACTTATCTTGAATCCTTAACTGAATATAAATCACTTAGCCTCTCATGTTGCCCAAGAGCTATCAAAATTAGGTTAATTTCTGAAGAACCCTCAACAGATAATTACATACTCCAGATTTAGTGAGGCCTTTAAGTGTAGGTAGGCAGGGGCTAGGAGAACGGGGGAAGGGTTTGGGAGAATATTGCAGTGGTGTTCTGTTACTTAAAAAGCCTGTCAGAGATTTCCTTATTATCATGAAGGTAAGGCGTTGTGTTGTTTCCCTGCTCAACTCACCTCCTCCTGCATCTTATGAAACCTTCAGTCACGGTTGTTATCTCTCACTATGAAGTAACTCTCAGAACTTAATTTGACATCCTGTAGGTTGAGGAGAAATGGATTCTCTCAACCAAAGGCAGGGAGCCCTTGCATAATATGGGGAGATGGAGAAGACTGTAAAACAGGAGGGTAAATGGTGTGAGCCTCAAGTGTTTGGGGTATTGCCTAGTTTCCTTCCAGTTTGAGCATCCCATATTTTGGTCTCCTGAAGTCTTCTGATGTCCCTGCTCTGTCTGTAGTTTGCTGGGAATGAAGCTTCTGCAGCGTAGGATTCCAGTTTTGTCTACACATGGAGCTTTTCTAACCGATTCTCTAGTTTCTTGATACTTGGGCCATGGGACTCTGACACAGTACGCTATGGGCTGGATTGAGCAAAGAAATTATAATTCAAGATGTTAATTTTCCTTTTCTGCCCTCAGCATCTGTGAGCGTGTGACTCCCCGGCTATCTCATGCCAACTCAGCAGTGGTGCTTTCAGCGGTAAAAGTCCTAATGAAGTTTCTGGAGTTGTTACCCAAGGACTCTGACTACTACAACATGCTGCTGAAAAAGTTGGCCCCTCCACTTGTCACTTTGCTGTCTGGGGAGCCAGAGGTGCAGTACGTCGCCCTGAGGAATATCAATCTAATTGTCCAGAAAAGGTTGGGAAACAATGAATTGGTGATTACAGTGTTTGTGATTTTGAATTAAGCTTAATAATACCGATATTACAGAGGCCAGTATCAAGTTCTTTTTAATATATGGAAATGAAAAAGTTTTATGGCAGAGCAGCTTGCCCAGGATCAGGAGGCTAACAGTTGCTTTTGGAGTGTTCCTGTGGTAAACACTTGGTGTTGCTCTGCAGCTTAGTTTGTTTTCTGATGAGCCTCCTAATAGTGTACCAGCTAGTGCCTGCTTCATATGGTTTAGGCCATAGTTTAGAGCCAGATTGTTGTTCTTCCAGCAGTTCTAAGCAATATGTACCCTAGCCCTTAAAAATTGTCTGCCAAATGAGAAACTGGTTAGAGGGGTATAAAGGAAGTGTGTGAGGTTTGGCGGGTGGGGTGAAGTGGCTGGAGCACAGATTAGATATTCATACAGACTTAGAAGGATATATCAGTTACATCTCGCCTTCCTTATCATGTGTTTCTGTGTACCACAGGCCTGAAATCTTGAAACAGGAAATCAAAGTCTTCTTTGTGAAGTACAATGATCCCATCTATGTTAAACTAGAGAAACTGGACATCATGATTCGTTTAGCATCCCAAGCCAACATTGCTCAGGTCAGCCTTAAAGCAGATTCAAGTTTATAAATCACTTAGATCTTAAGGTCTGGCCTTCAGAAGCTGCTAGGCCATGAAATTGCTGTTTGAGAATCCTTATTGATTGTTCACTTCCTGGATTTTTAACAGGTTCTGGCAGAATTAAAGGAATATGCCACAGAGGTGGATGTTGACTTTGTTCGCAAGGCTGTGCGGGCCATCGGACGGTGTGCCATCAAAGTGGAGGCAAGTGTCTGATGGTAGTTGGGATCACATTATGGGATTTAGAGTGTTCTTTTCACTCCTTTTTTTAAAATGTGTTTTTTAAATTTATTAAAATAATAAAGCACATAGTTAAAATTCCTAGAGGGAATAATTTTTAACTCCTTCTAGTTTCAGTTACTTTGCTGCTTCCATATTTTTAAATAATATGGTATTTATTGATTTACCCATTATAGATATTATCTATTAACTTTGTGCTGTGAGTTAAGTAACAGTTCATGTACCCCACCATTCCTACTTGAACCCTCCTATTCTCCAATAGTTATATCATGAGGTTTTTTCCTTCCTATATTGATTATCTTTGTAAATTGAGATAATATGCCTTCATTTATTGTTCTGTCAACTAAAGGCTTGCAAAACTTTCTATCCCTATTATGACCAAATAGTAGAGCCAGTATAATACAAATGATTATATTTTCTTTCTTATAGAGTCTTTTGTTTTTTTCTGGAGTTTCTATAATGGCCTTTCTTTTTTTCTTGCATTGTGTGTCTTCATGGCATCCCTGTCTTCCAGCTTTTCAAGCATAGTATCGAACCTGTAAACCTTTTTTTTTTTTAATAATTTTTTATTGTTATGTTAACCACCATACATTACATCATTAGTTTTTGATGCAGTGTTCCATGATTCATTGTTTGTGCATAACACCCAGTGCTCCACGCAGAACGTGCCCTCTTTAATACCCATCACCAGGCTAACCCATCCCCCCACCCCCCTCCCCTCCAGAACCCTCAGTTTGTTTTTCAGAGTCCATCGTCTCTAATGGTTCGTCTCCCCCTCCGACTTACTCCCCTTCATTCTTCCCCTCCTGCTATCTTCTTCTTCTTCTTCTTTTTTTGAACCTGTAAACCTTTTGTCCGGCGCCCTTCTGTCTTCCGGTCCTCTGTCCTCTCACTTGCTCCAGTCAGGCTTATTGCTTGTTTGGCCTCTGCACAGCCATCATTCCATGGGGCCTCTCTTCATAACTCTTTCTTGTTATGGTACTTCTCTCACAGCATTCATTTTTGTGTGATTGCAATAGCTTCTTGAGTCTCTGGGGATATGAATTACAGTGTTTTGTGTCTGCGGTTTAAATTTAATTATCTGGGGTATCGAATGGTGACCATTGCATGTCTGTATATAATTTTTTCATTGAGGTGTTAGCACACATATAATAAATTGCAACCCATTTATATTTAAGAATGAGAGAAAAGTGAATCAGGACTTCTGTGGGCATAGGCTGGGCTGCTGACTAACAGGTTTCTGCTTTAGGGCAGGGAGTTGATCTTTACTTCAATGTCCTCTGAAAGAGCTTTTCTGTGATCTTTGAGGGCAGATTGATTTTTAGCTTGGTTGCAGCCTTCCAGTAGGTGTTATGGTCTACAGCTTGCACTGCCCTATTTCATCAGTCTCCAGTCCTCCATTTGTTCATCATTCAGAAATGTGTTGGAATTAATGAAGGCCTCTGTTTGTTACGATGTTGTGGATTCAGAGCTCCATATTTGTTCTTGCTGCTTGACTGTATGCAGTTCTGCTTAGAGTCAGAGGGTTGGACCATATGATTTCTCAAGGATACTAAAATAATTTGTACAGTCTGTCCAGTACTTCTTGGGAATGGAAGGAAACAGATGCTGTGTCAGAGAAGCATCTATGAAAACCAAGTTCCTGATTGGCCTTCCTTGTTTTTATTTGAGACAGGGCTGCTTCATGTCATTACCACTGATAAATCATTCAGCAGTTTAGTTGTTGGAGCAAGACTTAGTTAATTCATCCTGGTTTCTACTCCTGGTTCTCATAGCCTAGTTGCTTCAGGTATTTAATACGTTCTGTTGCTCCATTGAGAAATGGGGATGTCTGATTATTGGATCTTGATACATCTTTTTTTATCACCACTCTTCACATTCTTTTCTTTTTTTCTTTTCTTACCTACTTACTTAATTTTCAGAGAGATTTTGATAGCATAAAGAGTAATTTTGTGCTATTCATTGCCAGACTGTCATTGTCTTATTGACTTCTTTGGCAAAGCTCTAAAGAATCATACAAAATTGTATCATTCCAAAGTTAAAAGAGATTTTCAATCCCTGGAATTACTAGAAAGCATTCTCCATCTGGATGGCTGTTAATGCCATGTATTGTGACTAATGGGAAAATAGTCCGTATTTCTGCTGGAAGGGTTAAACTTCTGATGGCTTTCACCTTTGACTCAGGGTGCCCTGGTGGGAATATGAGAGTATGTGAGGAATGAACTTTGTCTGGAAGGGATTAAGATCAGCCTTCAAGGTTCCTGCCTTCCAGCTCTCTTAGGTTGCCTGCATTTGCTGGAGCACTTTTCCTAGACCTGTTTCAATCATGAAGGTTATCATCAGTTGGAAAGAGTTGCCTGACCCAAATACAGTCATTGGGGCAGGAGAGGTGATGATTGCCTGTTTCTAACTAAGCATTCATGGGAAGGGGGATGAACCAGTGAGGGGATTGTAGTAGACTTCCTGGGTAGCCACTAAACCAAGCTACTGCATTCTTTCAGGGCATCTTACCCTTTTTTTAATGTGTAGTTGTTTCCAAAGATATGACAGATGAGAACAAATGAATTTTAGTGTCATGCTTAGCTGTGAGAGCAGGGCCTGTTGGAAAGTTTAGGCGTCTTTAAGAGTTTGAGTTGTATTTTTATCATAACTGTAAATACAGGTGTTTCTATGTTGCTGTAAATATCCTGAGGTGAAAAAAATACATAATTTTGTTCCAGTTGGTTAGGTTAAAGATTAAGCAGTAAGCTGCTCAATCAATAAAGAGCACTGGAAAGGTAATCCTATAGTATTGTTTTTTCAGAAGCTTTTGCCTATTTCTTTTTTGTCTGTTTTTTTTAGTAGCTTTTTTACTCTCCCGCACCCCCAACTTTATTGAGGTATGATTGACAAAATTGTATGTATTTACAGTGTATACCTACTTCTTTAAGGAGGAGATAAACCCCTGGTCCTTCTTAGTCTTCCAAATAAAATCAAATGCTTTTATTTCTTTGAGAGAGATTAAGGCAGTAAGTTCTAAACTTCCTAGTCTTCTGCTCTCTGGTGTTCACTATAAGATACTGATATGTATCTCATCCCTTTGTTTATTTTTATTTTGTTCAGTTAGCCACCATATTCATCCCTTAATTTAAAAACAAAGATTATATTTTTCCTGTTAGGAAAGCCATATGTGTTTACTAAATAAAATTGTAAAAAAAGACAAGTTAAATGAAAATGGAACACTGTTTTCTCCTACCTATTCCACCCTCCCAGAGATGATGTGGATGTGATTTTCAGTCTTCGTCTATGTAGTCCATCATACACAGGTGTACTTTTTACAAAAATGAGATCATCCTAAAAATGTTATTCAGTAGTCTGCCTTTTTCATTAAATTATACGTGGACATTTTTCCATGTTGCTGTTAACATTTGACATAATTTTTAATGGATTATAGACATAATGTTTGATTGCTTCATTATTTAACCTTCCTCTTATTGTAGTACGTTAAAGTTCCTGCTCTTTTTCCAAATAGTGGTATAAAGAGGACTTTGTAGCCAAGTTTTTTTTTTTTTAAATTAACATATAATGTATTATTTGTTTCAGAGGTACAGGTGTGTGATTCATCAGTCTTACACAATTCACAGCGCTCACCATAGCACATACCCTCCCCAATGTCCATCACCCAGCCACCCCATCCCTCCCACCCCCCACCACTCCAGCAACCCTCAGTTTGTTTCCTGAGATTAAGAGTCTCTTATGGTTTGTCTCCCTCTCTGGTTTCATCTTGTTTCATTTTTTCTTCCCTTCCCCTATGATCCTCTGTCTTGTTTCTCAAATTCCACATATCACTGAGATCATATGATACTTGTCTTTCTCTGATTGACTTATTTCGTGTAGCCAAATCTTTGATCTCTAGTGAAGGCGAGCTGTTTTCATTTGTTAGTCCTTTGGAATTGCTTGTTCGATTCCTGTGCACCTTTTCCAATGGGCTTTTCCACATTGGTTTTTTAAAAACAATCCTTTATAATTAAAGATATCAATCCCTCATTTTGTTAGCAGTTATTTTCCCAATTTGTTTTCCTTTCGATTTCATTTACTATCTCGACGCACAGAAGTTTACATTTCCTTATGTGGTGAGTTGTTTTCTCAGTGTTTGTTTTCTCAGGAGTTGTTTAGTGGCATCGTAGAAGATTGTGCTTCACCTCAAACTAAAACTCACCGTTATTGTCTACTTTTATGGTGAAGATTCTGGTTTTTTACACTTAAAGATATTTTTAATAATTAAAACAATTAGAAAGAATTTTGGCAAAAATATGAGGGTGAGGATCAAACACCAGAACAAATCCTTTCCTCACTGTTAAGAAATTTTGTCTCATACTAAATATTATAAGTGCGTATATATTTCTCTGTTTCTGGACTTTTCTGTCTGAACAGTGATTAGATGTTTACTCTTGCCCCTCTGCCATACTGCTGTAATAATGGTGGGCTTTCTTTTTTGTTAATCAAAAAGCAGTATGGTTGAGATGACAATTTGCTTGAAAATTACTGTCCCAGACTTAAATGTTTTTCGAATACTGATGCATCATAGGAAATGGCCTTTTGTCCTTATTCTAATAGTGATAGGAAGGGCTCACTAAATGTGAGCTTTATATCAAGCCCTGTGTTAATCACTGTATCTGTATTATTTCATTTATGATAATTTACATCTTAAAGCAGCCTTATCCTATATACTTTATAATTTATCACAACTTATATATTTAAATTTTACCAATTACTTTTCTGTTGCAGTAACTGCACAGGAATTACTAGCTAAAAATGAATAAAATAGAATCCAAAACTGGAAAAAATACATAAAAGATGGCAGAGTCATTTCATGGAGCAATAGAGTCATCAGATGAGTAACCTCAAGATGCAATTTTGTTTTCATTAAATTGCTTGAAGTGGTTTAACTTAGTACCTTTAAAAGATTTTATTATCGTAGTTTTCAGGCATACACTAAAGTTGATAATGAGCTCTCATGTACACATCATCCATTTTGAACAACTATTGACATGTTACTGCTTTTATCTTCTCCCTCTCCTTCAGGGAGTGGAGTGCTATTGAATTTTATTGTGGATCCCAGATAGGCTCTTACTAGAGTAGTCCAGTGTGTGTATCTAATAGAGAAGGTCCTTAAAAAAATATATTGTCACAATACCATTACTGTACCCAACAACTAGCAATAATTCTTAATCTCATTGAAGATCCAGCCCATATTCAGTTTTCCCTAATTGTGTCAGTGTGTTTTTATAGTTGGCTTGTTCAAATAAAAATCTAAAGAAGATTCACACTTTGCGTTTGGTTAATGTCTCTTAAGTCTTTACTTACTTTTGGTGCCATTTATTAAAGGGACTAGGTCATTAAGCTTGTACAATTTCCCAGAGTCTGGATTTGGCTGGTTGTATTTTAGTGATACTGTTTTTCTCATTCTGCCATCCCCTCTAGATAATTAAATTTAGAGATTTGGTAATGTTCATGTTCAGTGTTAGGCAAAAGTACCTCTTAGGCGATGCTGTGTACTTTCTATTGCATCTTATCAGGAGGTAGGTAATGGAGTGACCCATCATAGTACATTGTGATATATGATAAATCAGTCCTTGATTTTTAGGATCTCTTGTCTGAAACCCTTCTCCTTTTAAAAACTATGACTTATAGTTGCAGTATATTAGTTTTCTCACTTGTATTCTCCCATAGTCCCTTCATTAATAAAAGATTAATAGATTAAATCTTACAGATAAACTATAGGCTGGGGAAAATTGCAATTTAAGGCCATAGACTTTCAGTTATATAGTTCAGAAGATGGCAAATTTTCCTTAGAGTTTTTTGAGTCACAGATAACTTTGAAAACATAATGAAAGCTATGGACCCTCTCCCTGGAAAATATACTTATATGCAGATATGCAATTTTGCAATTTCATTTCAAGAGGTTCAGAGATGCCTTCTTCTGTCTCCACTTACCCGTGACCTACCTTGGCTTATTCTTTCTTCTTCCCTCCTACCTTGAGTCATTCTTTCTTCTCATTTCTGTTCTGCGTGGCTATCCAAGATGATTATTTTTGTTTGAATCAACTTACCTGTCAGTATATTTTGCAATGAATAAAATTTGGGGTGTATCTGGAACTTCTGTGTATCTCCATCAAATACCCTAGCCTCTAGTGTAGCTTGGTCAAATTAAGTGCCTGATCTTTTAGTCTAGTCTAGTTGGTGCACCTGTATGTTTCAAAGTTATCTTTATATTGAGGTTGCATTATCGGAGAGATCATCTGACTTGTCATTTATTTTGTTCTTCTTTGTAGCAATCTGCTGAGCGCTGTGTAAGCACATTGCTTGATCTCATCCAGACCAAAGTAAATTATGTGGTTCAAGAGGCAATTGTCGTCATCAGGGACATCTTTCGCAAATACCCCAACAAGTATGTCCAAATACCTCTACCTTCTTCCTCAAATCATTTAGGAAATGTTTAAGTAAGGCACTTTGAAATTGGCTAGGTAAGAATTATACTTTGTAATATAACTAGTCATAATAGGATACTTTGTTAAAAATCCTGTTAAAATAGGATACTTTATTATGAAAAATAATTTTTTAAAAACATAAAAGTATGTTTTAAATGTTAAAAAATTATATAAGGTGGTTAGCACAGGGATCAAAACCTGATTTTTCATCCTGCTTTATTACTTTGAGAGGATTTGAAGCTGAATGACAGTCAACTGTCATGTGCTGAAGTTGACCAAATTCTTTGTCGGTGACGTTACTATTAAATAGAAAGCCCACATATTACAGATTGTCCAGGCATATTTCAGTTTATGCCTGTTAGCAGGCATAATTAATATTTGTACTTCTTTTTACTCTCAGAAATAAATGTTTCAGTTTGAATGGTAAGTTAATAGCCACATGATCGCAGAAGTCAGGAAGGTGACAGTTGCACAGTTTACTTTGCATGTTACCTACTACTTTGTAGAAAATTATAGAGCATGTGACGAATTATTAGTCTCTGTCCTTTTCTGCAGTATTATAGCTTTTCCCATAAAGGCATGCAAAATCTGCAGTTTCACTCCACAGATTTTTCACATTGAGCCCTCTTATTTATGAAGCAAAAATAGTTCATTAGGTTTGATTTTGAAGGCAAGTGATTAGGGATCTGAAAGGGTGAAATAAGAGCAGGTCTTGTAAGCATCCTAAATCTCATTTTGCCTTATAATCATAGAGATGTGTTGTGCTGAAGATTCTGATTAGTCTTTAAAGATAGTGTCAAATGAAGCAACTTGCAATAAGTTAGCTTAGTGGTGGACTCAGAATTAGATGAAATACTATATTTAGCAAGGTAGTGGTTTATTAAGCATTATATATATATTTTTTAAATTTTAGAAGTGGTATTTTTGGGAAAAGGACCACTCTCCCAGAAAAGAGGAGAGTTGGGTTTCTAAGTTTAGAAAGATGAAGGGTGGAGATGTATATTTCATTGTGATTAGCAGAGAAATGTGCCCATTTCTGGTTTCTATTAATAAGGGGTTATGACAGTTTAATTACAAGAAAGTGCTATCAAGAACCTGGTTTAATCAGTGGAAGTAGGGCAAACAATTAAATGTACTATTCAGTTGTCTACATCTAATTTACTACACATTGTCATTTTTTTAAAAGATTTATTTTTGAGAGAGCGAGCAAGCAAGGAGGGAGGGCAAAGGGAGAAAAAACTTAAACAGACTCTGCTGAGCATGGAGCCTGATGTGGCGTTCGATCCCATGACCCCAAGATCATGACCTGAGCTGAAACCAGGAGTCGGACATTCAACCGACCATGCCACCCAGGCATCCCCACATTGTCATTTTTATGTTTAAAACTACATTAGCCAAGGAGATGGATTCAACATGGTAAAAATGAGAGCACTATAGGCCTGTGCAAATGAAAATAAATACTTGAATTATTTGTTTCTTTGGAGAAACAAGTCATTAGTGTGGGTGCCTTGGGAGGAAAGAACATAAAGATCTCCAGAAAAAGCAGGATTAGTGGATTAGTGGACAAAATTACTGTTTCTAGTCTGGATGCTGTTGTTGTCTAACTCCATTTTCCTAAAAGTAAAGTGGAATTTTTGTTCCTCTACCATGAAGGCAAAATGGAATAATAGGAAAATTCTCTGATCTAGTTATAGGAAAGAGTGTTAGAAATTATAAGTTAGTGGTATTATCTTATACCGCAGGTTAATTTTTCCTTGTGAAAAGAATATCTGATGAGTTTTTATAACAGTTTATGGTCCAGTTATGAAAACATAATTGAAGGGAAATTTAAGACATAATCTTCTGGCTTAAAGCTTCTGCATTCTCTTGACCAAAAGCCTTTATAGTTTGGTGGTTTGGTTTAGGGTACCTCGTTGGTGGTTTTGTTTTTAGCCTTCATTGTTTAATACAGTTCTCATTTGTGCCCAATGTAACCATAGTCCATTTTGTTAAATCAGGTATGAAAGTATCATTGCCACTCTGTGTGAGAACTTAGACTCACTAGATGAACCAGACGCTCGAGCAGCCATGATTTGGATTGTGGGAGAATATGCTGAGAGAATTGACAATGCAGATGAGTTACTAGAGAGCTTCCTGGAGGGTTTTCATGATGAAAGCACCCAGGTAAGTTCTCATCTGTGTCCTGTGTCTGATCTTTTGGGGAAGATTTCAGGAAAAGTAAAGGTTATGCACTTTCGTGTGTGTGTGTGTGTGTGTGTGTGTGTGTGTGTGAGAATTTATATATAAATTCATCTTTTCATTTGTGCCGATTTCTGGTGGGACAAATCTGCCTTAGACCAGTGATTCTCAAACTTTAATGAACGTAGAGAGTTTGTTAAAGCACAGGTTGCTGGGCCCCATCCTTAGTGTTTCTGACTTGTTGGGTCTGAGATGGGCTTAAGCATTTTCATTTCTTACCAGGTTCAGGATGCTGCTGCTGCTACTAGTGGTCCAGAACCACGCTTTAACAACTACTTGCTGAGAGCAGTAGTTAGCACTTCCTCATTTTCTCTCACCAGAAGAAGATGACCTGTTCCTATTCCTGATGGTTGTGGCTCATTACAGCAGGGTTTCTCACCTGGGGCTGGGGTGAGGTCTGGCATGTGCAGTTTGGAAAGATTCTCTGTGGGTGGTTAGACTTCCTCCCATCTTCTGCCTCTCCTCTACCCAAATGGAGAGACCTGACCTCGGAGCCACGGGCCCACAGAAGCAGATAAATTATAAAACTCCTTTCCCCTGGCATTTGCACTCACTGCACATTGAAGGTCATGTATGTAATTCGGCCATAGTAATTTTAATTATGGGCGTCTACAAGGAACACATACAAGCCTGTAGCCCACTCTTAATTAGCTCTGATCTGGTGCAATTTTACTATTTTTTGGCTCTTGCCCTAGTATGACAGATAATTCCCTAATTCTCCCTAAGTTGTATCTTTTGGCGGAAGTAAATAATAAGGGCTTTAATAAATAAGCAATTTTTGATGCCAAAAATGCAGTTTGGGATAAGAGGCTATTAAGTTCTTAATTGATGAATACCTTTGACCTGCTATTTTTGATAATGGCTGAGTTTTAGCCTTTGTCTCTTAATCAGAATCGGAAACCCCCATAGTAATTCATAGATCGGTAAGCACTACTTTGGAAATGATGGTAGGGAATAATGTAAATGCCTTTCACTTTATCTGTTAAATTATGTCATGCCCTTAGGTGCAGCTCACTCTGCTTACTGCCATCGTGAAGCTGTTTCTTAAGAAACCATCAGAAACACAGGAGCTGGTACAGCAAGTCTTGAGTTTAGCAACACAGGTATGAAATCTAGAAAAAGCGTGGGTTTGATTTGTCTGGTTTTATATTTAGGAAATTAGGAAACTCTAAGAAGATTTATTTGGAGAGGTTTTAATTGGAAAGGGTGCAGTCTTTAGATCCTGTTAAAATATAAAAACAGTGTCTCTTATACCACTGAATTATAGCTGGTTCTGTGGCTTTTAAGTGAATTGACTGACTCCAGTTTTTATGATAGTTCATGAAAATTGAACTTAAGATTTTTTTTTTTACTGTCAATGAAGGACCTACTACTATGTGAAAATGACATTGAGTCTCATAATACTGGGTGACTCACTTGAATCTCACTCCTTTTGGGGGACTTAAATTTAGTTTCAAATGAAAGTACAATGTAATGCTGGTAAATGCCTTGACAGAGGTCTCAGGTATTGTTCTACCTTCTAGAGTTGATTGCCTGTCTCTTTAAATAATTTTAAAGTGCTTATGCTGCCTCCTTAATTATTGGATATTTTTGGTCCTCCCTAGGATGAGTTCTGATTTCAGGAATGTGGCAGCCGGCCATAGAGTTCAGGTCACCGTTTTAGATCCACAGAGATCAAAATAATTATTTTATCTAGTGTAACTAGAAGAGTAATCATCAATTCATCATAATTTAGTTATGTTCTTAATTGAATTTACGAACAGGCTGGCTGTAGCAGGCTGTTGGAAGTTCAGGTGTGTGTCTACATAGGAATCTGAGTCAGATATTCAGTTTACCATTTTTCTTACTCATCTCTTTATAGTGGTATTTTATCAAAATTTAAAATCCTTTCACAGCACTTTGCCTAGTTCTAACCTGTCATCTTTGCTGTTACTAATTTTACATCTTTTAAAATTTATTTTTAAGAGTTCTTTGAAGTTTTTTTTTTTTTTTAACTTCCCTTTTAAACATATTCCTTTGCCTGAAGCAAAGCAGTTTCTATAACCATCAAGGCAGCGGATATTTAATATTATCTTGTTGAAGTGAGCATTATAGACTTCCTAGTCTAGACCCTTGATCACTCGTTTGGATCTGTGTTAAGATGGATTTAAAACAAATTTCTGAAGAGAATCTGGGCCTTCTCTCTCTGCTCATCTCTCGATAGGGATAGTCTTATAATCAAGCAAGTGTCCTTGGTAGGTTCCTCTTGTATTCACAAGTTCTCAACCCTATCTCCATCTCCTGTGTAAGGCTTATGGGTCTGTATTTAAAAGGCCTTATAGGAGAGCTGTATTTTGGATTCTTTTTTTTTTTTTTTTAAGATTTTATTTATTTATTAGAGGGAGAATGAGAGAGAGAGAGCACAAGAGGGAAGAGGGTCAGAGGGAGAAGCAGACCCCCCGCTGAGCGGGGAGCCCGATGCGGGACTCAATCCCGGGACTCCAGGATCATGACCTGAGCCGAAGGCAGTCGCTTAACCAACTGAGCCACCCAGGCGCCCTGTATTTTGGATTCTTGTCAGAGTTCAAATTCAATCTTAACATCTCCTAGTATTTATCAAAACTTGCCTGAGATAAAGTGTTTAGGGAGGATTGCTTAAAGGATACAAGGACTCTCTGTTCTTAAAAATAATTGAAATTCACCACTGAATCAAGCCAGATTATTAGAGGGCTGGCTATCTAGACTGAATTGTACCTGACTCCTAATAGAATTTCATTTACTAAATTATATGGATACCGTCATCTTGTAGTAAGGGTTGTCATGAGAAACTGTCCTCTTTGGATCTGTTGTCAAAGTTATTTGTTACTCCATTTATATGTTGTTTTTCTTTATGAGGTCCCATCAGACAGATTCCTAACCAGTTTTGGATTCTCCTAAGCATTGGTATGTAGTTAACTGCCCATCTGAATGGCTCACCTGACTAGATTTCTTGTTCATGTCAGTTGGAAACCTTAGAATCAAATTTAAGGATCTTCTGTAGAAAATGTGTAGGTCATTGTGAGATGAATTTTTCTGTTTTTAGTTTGATTTAGGCTCTCTAGCCTTGGATGCATTTTTGTAAGCTTTGCTAAGTCCTTTTCTAGGACAGGGCAGGGTATAAGTAAACCATCAGATATTCCTGATTCTAGACTTTTTGTACAAGGACTAGTATAGAATCTTTAATAATAACCATTTGTATTGTGCTTACTATGTACCAGGCATTCTAGTAAGCACTTTACATATTAATCTCATAAGGGTTGCTACTGTTGTACTGTTCCTATTTTTTTAAAGATTTTATTTATTCATTTGAGACAGAGCAATAGAGAGAGAGAGAGAGAGAGAGAGCGAGACCATGAACAGGGGAGGGGTAGAGGGAGAGGGAGAAGCAGATTCCCTGCTGAGCCCAAAGCCAGACATGGAGCTCCATCCTAGGAGCCTGGGATCGCGACCTGAGCCGAAGGCAGACACTTAACCATCTGAGCCACCCTGGTGCCTCAGTATTATTCATTCCTATTTTATACATGAAGAAACTGGGACATAGGCCCAGTTAGTATGGGGCAGAGCTAGGACTCAAACCCAGGAAGCCTGGCTTCAGGATCTTTGCCCTTATCTACTGTGCTGTGGCTACTTCTCTAGTCTGAAGGTCAGGGATGACTTTGAGACTACACATTCCCTGCTTCCCTGCTTGAAGCACTACTGTGCAGAAGCCATACATACAAGTGAACTTAGTAGTTTTTAGATCATTATGGATGATTATTTCGTACTTGGTTATAAGTAATTATTAAGCAATTTCCCTAGCCCTGCCTTTTCTGTCCAGTTAATGAGATCTGAGGAGTTAGCATAAAAGAACAAGCACATTTATATATTGTGCATATATGTATGTAATTATTATTGTGCATATATCTATATATAAAATATATATAAAATTTCTATTGAAAGTTTTTTCTCTTTTTTTTCCCTCAAGTTTGTGAAATAAGAACCTAGTCCCCCCCCGCCCCCCCCGCAAAAAGGTGGTTTTATTAAAGCACAGGGACAAGACCCATGGGCAGGAAGAGCTGTTGAACCTAATACTTTTGGCTGGTACCAATTTAAATTGAGGGCAGTGTGATCTGCTAAGTTGTGTTAATTTGAATTGGGTGATGGGGTTCTGTTTCTGCCACATACCTGGTTCAGGACATGACTGAGCAAATTTCTTATTAATACTGCTTCTCTCCCATCTGAGAGTTAATTAATAATGTTTTTTACCTGTGCTGAGAATTCAGTAAAGTATATGTGAAATATTTATGCTTCTAATTTTAAATAAAGTGGTGGTATAATTAGAAATATTATTAGGGGAAAAGAAAATGAACCCTTGAATCCAAGGCTTCATTTTAAAGATTTGTCGTCTTTGCTTTGGTAGTTAGAGAGGAATTAGTTAAGAATATACACAGAAGTGTTCAGACTTTAATAATTACCCTGTATAGTATATGAAAGAAAAATTAAGTTGAAGACTTCTCTGTGAACTAGAAACCACCATCAAAATCATCTGTGCTGCTTGTTGGATGTATAAATTCCTGGGCCCGCTCCTGACATAGTGAATGAAAATCTGTGATGTGGCCCTGGAATCTGCCATTGAGTGGCTTTCCTGGTGTGTTAGTGTTGACACACAGTCTAGTTTAAGAGCTTCCCTGATAAGAATTATTTTGGAAGCTCTCAGATTTTTAGAAATGTACTGTTTTTCCAGATTCTGGCAAGGAACTATGGGGCTAACAGAAAAGCAGATCCAAAACCAAATTTTGTGAGCCACCAAACACATAATGGCACCCTAAAATCATAAAAAGTTTGTTTTCATGTCCCAAGTCTTTTTTTTTTTTTAAAGTTTTTATTTATTTATTTAACAGAGACACAGCGAGAGAGGGAACACAAGCAGGGGCAGTGGGAGAGGGAGAAAGCAGGCTTCCCGCAGAGCAGGGAGCCCGATGCAGGTCTTGATCCTAGGACGCTGGGATCATGACCTGAGCCGAAGGCAGACGCTTAATGACTGAGCCACCCAGGTGCCCCTCATGTCCCAAGTCTTAACTGGGCCTGATTTCTTGTGGCCTCCAGATGAATAGTGAGGCAGTGAAGGCCAGCTTATAATAGGCCGAGCAAATCAGCCCTCAGAACAGCAGTGTTCAAACAGTGGAGATCTTTGCCTGCTCTTAACTTTAGGTCTTGGAAAATTTGCACTCATTTCTTATAGGACTATATTTTTAAAGTCTGTGTCTATTAAAATTTACAGTGTATATACCCTTTATTTTTTATTTATTTTTTGAGAGAGCATGTGGTAGAAGGGGGGGAGAGGGAAAGAGAGAATCTCAAGCAGGCTCCATGCCCAGCACAGAGCCCGACATGAGACTCAATCTCACAACCTTGAGTCATGATCTAAACCAAAATCAAGAGTCAGATTGAACTGGGGCACCTGGGTGGCTCAGTCTGTTAAGCATCTGCCTTCAGCTCAGGTCACAATCTCAGGGTCCTGGGATTGAGCCCTGCATCAGGCTTCCTGCCCAGTGGGGTGTCTGCTTCTCCCTCTGCCTCTCCCCCCAATCCCCACTCATGCTTGATCGCTCTCAAATAAATAAAATCTTTAAAAAGTAAAAATAAAAAAGAGTCAGACTTAACTAAGTCACCTAGGCACCCACAGTGTTAATCATTAATCCAGTGATTCTATATGCAGCATTTTGCCCATGTTTTGAATTTGTTGGGGGGATTCAAACTTTTTTTTTTTAAAGATTTTATTTATTTGACAGAAACACAGCGAGAGAGGGAACACAAGCAGGGGGAGTGGGAGAGGGAGAAGCAGGCTTCCTGCGGAGCAGGGAGCCCGATGTGGGGCTCAATCCCAGGACCCTGGGATCATGACCTGAGCCGAAGGCAGACGCTTAACGACTGAGCCACCCAGGCACCCCTCAAACTTTTTTTTATAATTTATATAATTTTGTAAATCCCCACAGGATTTTTTTTTTTTTTTTTGCTATTTGGTTAAATATGTGCATAATAGAGGAAATAAATAATTTGAAGTAAAAAGTATTTTAATCAGTATATTATTAAATTGTATTATAAAGTTTAATACCTCAAGAATATTACTAATTTGTAAAGACAGAAGACTGAATTTTCCCAGTCGAGTGATGTGCAGTATTCATTTTAATTATATAATAAAAAGCACAGTCTACAAATTTCAAATGGTGTGCTTTGGGGATTGAATATATAAATTAAGATTTAACTTTTAATTTATGTATCAACAAAAGCTGGGGTGGGGATTGCTTTCCTGACCTGTTACTTTGAGAAACTTGTATTACTCCTCTCTTAAAAAATCAAATCAATTTATGTTTTATAATGTTCAAACTCTGTTTCCAAATGAAAATCTAAGTGAGGAGGTTTCAGGCTGCTATTTATAAACAAATTACCCAACTCCTCAAAAACAAAGAAATCATGTAAATTGGATGCTATCACTGTTTCCTTTTTATAACCCTGGCATTGCAAATACTACAAACATTTTGATATGGTATATAATGCGTGTATATATATATATGCACTTCTGTTCCAATGATGCAACCTATGTATGTGATAATAAAATAAAATTTAAAGAAAAAGATTATTTTAAGTTATGTTTACCATTTTGATACTCTGTTAACTAACTTGCCATATCTTGGTGTCCTTTATGCTTTTTTGTTTTTAACCAGTAATCCACTGTGGATGCAAATTAAACAATATAAACTGAGAAAAACCATTTAAAACCATGTAGTCAAAACCATTGGGTTCACTGCCAATATTAAGCTGGATGCTAAGTGCCTTACATGGCTAAATCATGAACCAGTTCATCTGCTTACTTAGAAGCTCACATGTAAGCCCTCAGATTGGCCCAGTTTTGAAGAAAATATCTTTGTGTGTTTTAAATACAGATAACTGAAACAGGGACTTACTCTTGTAGCACTGGAACAGCATGGATATACATGCCACCATGTACACACATACTCTGAGAGGTAGATACCAGGGTATTCATTTCCACTCTGTAATGATCACATGAATGAATGAATGAATGAATGAATGGCAGGAAGAAGGGAGAAAGAGGCAGGAATCTAAATGTCCATGGATAGGGCATTAGTCAATAACAATGCAGTACTATATATACAGGGGAAATTTGCAGGTGTATATGCTAATGTGGAAAGCACCTTGCAGTGCAGTATATATAATGTGAAACTGGTTTTGTATAAAATGAATATATGTATGCTTAGGAGCTTTCTGGAAGAATACATACCACACTGGAGAGTTAAAGTGGGGAACGGTTGGATGTTTGGGAAGACTTAAAATTTTTATTTTTTATTTATTTTTAAAAATATTTATTTGACAGAGTGGGAGAGAAAGCGAGAGAACATGGGCAGGGGGAGGGGCACAGGGAGAGGGAGAAACAGGCTTCCCAGCTGAGCAGGGAGCCCAGTGTGGGGCTGGATCCCAGGACCCTGAGATCATGACCTAAGCCGAAGGGAGACGCTTAATCAACTGAGCCACCCAGGCACCTAAGTTTAAATATCTTAACAGCCAATTCTTTATAAATCACTGCAGCATTGCCTTGATAATAAATCAAGCAGGTTGGGTTTCTGTATGGAGAAAAGTTCCATTTAAACCTTGCCCTTGCCTTTCATTAGGATTCTGATAATCCTGACCTTCGAGACCGAGGCTATATTTATTGGCGCCTTCTCTCAACGGACCCTGTCACAGCCAAAGAAGTAGTCTTGTCTGAGAAGCCACTGATCTCTGAGGAGACAGATCTTATTGAGCCAACTCTGCTGGATGAGCTAATCTGCCACATTGGATCTTTGGCTTCAGTGTACCATAAGCCTCCCAATGCTTTTGTGGAAGGAAGTCATGGAATCCATCGCAAACACTTGCCAATACACCATGGGAGGTAAGCAGGTGAACTAGGTTTTGACTGAGAAGTAACTGTTTAGACAGAGTTGGTCTTCCTCATGCTTTTATAGTCTAGAAAAGAACTTGCTGTGCATTTTGCAAACCTGCTATACTGCCCTGGGGGCTCCATCTGAATACTAGTGAGCACAAACATAATAGGTGAAAGGCCCCTCTGTGTTCTAATCTTGGAGTAGATAAGATAATGGCTTAAGAAAATGGTGAAGACCTAAACTGATAAAGTTTGAGAGTTGCTTAAGTCTGCAGATGAGGCTAGAAATCTTGTCAGGGCTGAAAATTTGGAAGAAAGTCTATAGTATGTACCTTTAGCTTTTTTGTTTGTTTTAAGACCTTATTTATTTGAGAGCGGCGGGGCGGCGGGGGGGGGGGGGGCGGCAGCAAAGGGAGACGTAGACTCCTTGCTGAGCAGGGAGCCCAGCGTGGGGCTGGATCCCAAGGACCTTGAGATCATGACCTGAGCCAAAGGTAGCAGCTTAACCGACTAAGCCACCCAGGCGCCCCTACCTTTAGTGTAACTTTCTATGAAGCTTATGGATAAAGTTAGCAGATACTCCTTTTGTGCTGTAAAGCTGAAAATGAAATAATATTTGCAGGATTGTTTTTAAAAGCAGCCTAGATTCCTTCCTTCTACTGGCTTTGGGCTTTGTTCTTTTTCTAGCTCCTTAAGGTATAAGGTTAGGTTTGAGATTTTTCTTGCTCCTTGAGGTAAGCCTATATTGCTCTTATCTTTCTTCTTAGAATTGCTTTTGTTGCATCCCAAAGATTTTGGACAGTTATGTTTTCATTTTCATTTGTCTCCATGTATTTTTTTTATTTCCTCTTTGATTTCTTGGTTGACCCAATCATTGTTCAGGAGCATGTTGTTTAGCTTCCATGTATTTATGTTCTTCTTTCAATTTTTCTTGTGGTTAATTTCTAGTTTCATACCATTGTGGTCAGAAAAGATGCATGATACGATTTTAGCCTTTTTGAGTTTATGAGACTTGTTTTGTGACCTAAGACATGATCTATTTTAGAGAATGTTCCATGTGCACTTGGAATACACACAAAAATGTGTATTTTGCTGTTTTTGGATGGAATGTTCTGAATATATCTGTTAAAAAGCATCTAGTCCTATGTGTCATTCAAAGCCACTGCTTCCTTGTTGGTTTTCTGTGTGGATGATAATATCCACTGATATAAGTAGGGTGTCATCCCCTGCTGTTATTGAACTACTGTCAGTTTCTTCCTTAATGTCTATTAATAGTTGCTTTATTTATTTAGGTGCTCCCATTTTGGGTGCATAAATGTTTATAATTGTTATATTCTCTTGTTGGATTGTTTCCTTCATTAGGTGGTGTCCATCTTTCTTTGTCTCTTGTTACAGTCTTCGTTTTAAAGTCTGTTTTGTCCAGTATAAGTATTACCACCCCATCTTTCTTTTTGCATCCATTTGCATGGTAAATGTTTTTCCATCCCTTCATTTTGAGTCTGCATGTGTCTTTAGGTCTGAAGTGAGTCTCTTGTTGACAACCTGTAGGTGGCTCTTGCTTTTTTATTCATTCAGTCACCCTGTGTTTTTTGATTAGAGCATTTAGACAGAGTTGGGATGCAGCAGTACTGTTCTAAGAGGGAAGATTACAGCAGTACCTTCCTGAGGCCAACTCAGGAAGCAAGTAAAATCCCAACCTAATCTTAAACGTAAAGGAACTAGAAAAAGAACAAAGCACAAAGCTGGTAGAAGGAAGGAAATAGTAAAGATTAGAGCAGAAATAAAGGAAACAGAGACCAAAAAAATAGTAGAACAGATTAAGGAAACCAGGAGCTGGTTCTTTGAAAAGATCAATAAAATTGCTAAACCTTTATCAGACTCATCAAAAAAAAAAAGAGAGAGAGAAAGGACATACTTAAAAAGGAAAGGACAACATCCAAGCAAATGTTTATTGATATTCATTAGCCTTCACTTGAGTTGACTCTGGTTTTAGGGCAGGTGCTGTGATTTTCACTCAAAGGAAGTTGAGGCTTCATAAGGATTAGGCCTTGTAACAGTAGAGAGTTTCTCCTGTAGGCAAGCATATTTAACCTTCTAGATGTGACATTTGACTTCTAAGTGCATCATCTCCCAGTCTGTTAAGTTTGGGTAATAAATAGGGATTTTCTTTTTAACTTGCCTCTGTAGCCATATTTATATGCCATTTAGATTACCCTGTCTCCTGATAGCTTTTGACCCTCAGAGGGGGGAAGTGACACAAATCAACAAATAAAAACAACCCTTTCTAGAACACAAGAAAAGAACCAGTATTTAAACTATAAAAAAGAAACAATCTCTTACTTAAGGTCTCTATCTGATTAATAGTCTTATGTGGTTCCTTTTTAGATAATTTTTTTCTTTTTGGTTGATTTGTGCTTGTATTGTCTTTCTAAGGGAAACACAAATGCATAAAAATCCCTTTTGAAATAAATAGGGATGATACATTGCTGCAAATGGCATATTCATAATAGCACTGACATTACCTAGCTCTCTTCTGCAGCATTCAGTTAAATGATGTGCCTCTGACATGAACTACAGCTAACACTGTAAAACCTTACTGTGCCTCTTCTAGAAATCTAAAAATGCTTACTTAACCAAATTTTTTAAAATCACTTGAGAAAGGGAAAAGTGCTTTTTAGTTGGCTATTGCTTACTAAAACTTGTCAGCTGCTCTGGGGGGGAGGTGAGATGGTAAATAGTTGTCTACTTTAGGAAAACCTCACCTTTTAAAAATATCGCTTTGGTGTCAGTTACACAGTTATTTCCCAGGAGTTTACATGGGAACTGTTTTCATGTTAATTTTCTTGTGTTTGTCATTTAGAGAAAATGCATAATGATTTACCATGTTCTTGTAGAAACCACAGGATCACTTCTTTTCATCTTAACTCCTTTATCTTCTCATGGAAAGAAAATATGTGCATTGTTACCTATTCTGCCTTCTATTTAGAGGTACTGATAAACAATATGACAGAACACTTCTTAAATGGCACATGTCGTAAGATGATAGAATTTCATGTTCAGAGAATATCCTTTATAGAGATTTCATATTTTTCTTGGCAGGAGTATATGAAATTGCTTCCCCCTTTTGACTTCATTATTAATTTTTGGCTATATTTGCCCCTCTTCCCCCAATCTAGATACTAATCATCTTGGCTTCCTTGACACTTTTTGCTCCTAAGTTATCTTTCTTAGATTGTTTTTCTGTCTTTAATCTTTGCTGTTCTGTGTTCCTTCTCTTCTCTGATCATGAATCTTGATTGTGTTGCAAGGCTCATTCTGAACCTTCTCTTTCTGTGCTTCTCTTTGTATTCCTTTCGGGAGCTGAACTACTAAACACAGCCACTGATCTCTTTTTTTTTTTTAAGATTTTATTTATTTATTTATTTGACAGAGAGAGAGGCAGGAGAGAGAGAGCACAAGCAGGGGGAGCGGGAGAGGGAGAAGCAGGCCTCCCGCTGAGCAGGGAGCCCGATGCGGGGCTCGATTCCAGGACCCCGGGATCATGACCTGAGCCGAAGGCAGACGCTTAACGACCGAGCCACCCAGGCGCCCCAGCCACTGATCTCTTACAGGGCTTTACATTTTATATCATGTTTTCATTTCATCCTGTCTAAAATAGATGCCTGTGACATGGTTACCATTTTATTGATGAGGAATCTTTGCCTCAGAAAAGTTGTCACTTGCCCAAGATCACACAGCTGGTAATATTTGGAGCCAACACTTGATCTTTGTCTTCTTACTCTAGACCACCTACTCTTCACTGCCATACCTGTGGTGCTCTGCTGATTTCACCTGAGATGTGTGTTTGAATTTCTTCCCAGTTTACTTCTTGAACTCTGACTGCCAGTCCCTTGTCCTTAGCTATCTGTTGGACTTCAATTGTTTTTCATACCTGAAATTTAACAGTTGGAAACAGCATTTGTTTTTCCCATCATCCCTTCAGGTTCCTCTGTCATTATGAGGAGCATCACCAGTCTTTTGCTTCTTAGTTTTTGTTTATTTATTCTTTGACTTTGATTATTCATTCTTCTCTCTTACATGTTCAAGAAAATATTGTTAATGGAATTTTTACATTATTTTTTTCTTCGTATTATATAAATCTTAGAAAATGTGCAAGATAGAGTGGGATAACAAACTCCTATGTACTCATCACTCAGCTTCAACAGTTCTCACTATTTTGCCAAGCTTGTTTCATGTATCACCCCTACAATTTTTTATTTTTTGATGGAGATGGAGTATTTTAAATCCCAGACTTCCTATTGTTTCACCTTTACTTGGTATCTCTAATAGACAAGGACTTTTTTTTTTTATATCACAGTAAATTACCCAGCCTAAGAAAATTAGAAATAATTATTTAATATTGCATAAGCAGTCTTAACTACTTTCAGATTTTCTTAATTGTCATTCTCTGTTCTCTTTTAAATATCTGAGATTGGTTTTACTTTGTTCTTAAATGTTTGGAAGAATTCACAGTGAAGCCATCTGAGCCTGGAATTTTCTTTGTGGGATTTTCTCCTCTTCCCCCGCTCCCACTTTTTAAATTGATAATATCATTTATAATAATCTTAATAGTACACTAACCTTTAGTGTATATAGCTCAGTAGATTTTTGCATATATATACAATCATAACCACCACCCTGATGAGATACTTCCAGCACCCTAGAAGATTCTTCATGCCCCTTTTCTGTTAATACGCACTCTCCAAAGATAACCATTGTTTTGACTTCTATCACTACAGTTTTGCTTATTCTTGAACACAATATAAATCAATTATATGTTTCTATTTATTGGTATATAGTATTCCATTGCCCCAGTATACCACAATTTACTTATATCTTCTGTTGATGTACCTTTGGATTTTTTTCAGTTTGGGGCTCTTATGGATAAAACTATTATGAATATTCTTGTGTACATCTTAGTAGACTTATATATACTTACTTCTTTTGTGTATACAACTAGGAATGGAATTGCCGGGTCATAGAATAGATGTATATTTAGCTATCGGAGACAATGCCAGTTTTCCCAAGAGATCATACCAGCGTATACTTCCAGCTGTGTATGAGTTCTAGGTGATCCACATCCTGATGAGCACTTGGGGTTGTCAGTCATGTTAATTTTTGCCATTCTGGCAGATATGTGATGGGGTCTTGCTTTGGTTTTCATTTGCATTTTCCTGTTGATTAGAGATGGCTTAAGTCCCTCTTCATGTGTACAGACTGCTAGTAGATCCTCCTTTGTGATATGCCTAATCTTCTCATTTTTTTAATGAGTTCTCTTTTCAATTTTAGGAATTCTTTATAAAATAATTGAATGATTTATAGGAATCTTTTATGTGATTTCGGTACATGTCTTGTCAGATACATGCGTTGTGAGCATCTTTTTTTGTAGTCTGTGGAACATACTTTCTCTTGTTGTCTCTAAATGGTGTTATTTGAAGAAAAGATGCTTTCAGTTTTAGTGAAGTCCAGATCATTTTTTTTCTTTTATACTTATGTTTTCTGTGGGAACTTTTGTCTACTCCAAGGCCATCAAGGGACTCTCCTAGATTTTCCCCTTCACATTTATGTTGGCTTTGTCTCTTTAATTTTTATTTTGTGAGGTACAAGAGTCAAGGCTCATTTTTTCCCTCACACAGCTATCCAGTTGACCCAGCAACATCTATTATCTCATGGAACTCACCACTTTTTATTTTTATGTATGGTGGCAGTAGCTGTTTAGATTACTGTTTGCTGATCTCCACACTCATTCTTCCAACTTCAGTCCATTTGACACACAGCTGCTAGAGTCATGTTTCTGTAATGTTACTTTTAGTTCTTTGTTCAACAAATCAAAGTGATTCTGCATTGCCTATCAAAAAAAATTAACTTCCCAGGCTAGTTTTCAGTTTTATCTCCCTCATCTTCTCTTTCCCAAAATCTTAATCCCAATTTTTGCTCCTGCCAATAAAATTTTTTTACCACCCCTAATGTCAGATTGTTCATTTCTGTGCCTTTGCACAAACCATCCGTTCCTTTAAGATAAGTCTCTCCCTGGTAGTTCCTCACAACTGTGCTGTTCTTCAAAATCTAGTCATAAAACCATTCTCCAAAGCTTTTAGAATCAGCCCTACCTGGCTTGTTTTGTTTCTTAGCTGTATCCCGTCATTGTACAGATGCTCATACAGTACTCATTTCTGCTATTACACAGTGAATGTGCTTTGCAGTCATTTTGTAAATGCAGCTTTTTGTTGTTGTTTAAGTTGAGGACAGGAAATAGCTTTTCTTTTTAAAAAATATGGCTCGAAGGTTCTCATTATAATGCTCCATTACAGTGTAGGTGCTCAGTTAAAATTGACTGACTGCTAAGGTTATATAGTATACATTTATTTTCATTTTAGCAACTATATATATATATATATTTTTTTTTACTGAACTAAGTGGCTTTATTTGGGAGAGCCAGGATTACAGTTTACTTAAGAGTTGGCATTGGGGCCCTTCTTCTTGCCAAAAGTGGGCACAGCGTTGACAAAGCGCCGGTTGTACTGCATCCACCGCTTGGCTTGGCCTGTCTTCTTCTTTTTCTCCTGTTTGGCCACCTTGGGAGTCTGCCCTCTTACTTTCCCAGCACGGGCCAGAGAACCATGGACTTTACCTCCAAGCATGCGGCCAGCTACTTCCAGGGTGGTCAGAGCCTCCACTCCACACTGACCTAGGTAGGGTAGCCTCATCCTCCAGGGGCGTGCCGGCCAGGAGCACGACTTGATCTACTGGAGCGATGCCCTCCAGGGAGGCTACGTGAGCCTTGATCTGGGCGACTGCCTCCTGGCCAGTCACCTCGAGGGTGTGTAGCTCCTGGGCGCGGACAAAGAGCTGTATGTCGGCGACTGAACTGCGGGCACCGCAGCCACTACCGCGAAGATGGAGTCAAGAAAGAGCTTAGCAACTATATGTTGATAAAAATATAAGAATTGCTGATTTTGGGGGCACCCGGCTGGCTCAGTCTGTAGAGTATGCAACTCTTGATCTCGGTGTTGTGAGTTTGAGCCCCACATCAGGTGTAGAGATTATTTAAAAATAAAATCTTTTAAAAAATAATACTGCAAAAAAAATAAGTTTTATATTTTTGTTTTTTGTTTGTTTTTTTCCTCCTCCTGTGTTTTATAGATCTGACATTCACTTGTTCCTTGTTACTGTGTCCTGGGTGAAACTGACTTTTCTCTTTTCCCCTCTGTGTGTGCGTGTGACTGCAGCACTGATGCAGGTGACAGCCCTGTTGGCACCACCACAGCCACGAACCTGGAACAGCCTCAGGTGATCCCCTCTCAAGGTGACCTTCTAGGAGACCTTTTAAACCTTGACCTCGGTCCCCCAGTCAATGTGCCACAGGTGTCCTCCATGCAGATGGGAGCAGTGGATCTCTTGGGAGGAGGACTAGATAGTCTGGTAAGTATCTTTCTTCCTTCTTTCTTTTGGTTATTTTAAATTTTTGATATGCTAAAGAGCTTTAGATTATTCAGCTTTTTAGAACTAGGCCTTTCCTTGATGAGCAGAGCAATGTCCTTTGATAAAGGACAGGATTTTTTATCTTCATAGAATTAATTGATATTGTCAATTAATTAATTGTTACGGGGCATGTTTACAACTGTGCGGGATTGTTTTGTTGTCCTGCCTCTAAATAGAACTTTTGATATTTAGCCAACCTATTCAGCAATCTTAATATTTGGTATCCTTTCCAGAGCTTAGTACTCCTGCTTCTTAACTCTGCATAGCCCCTGTAGTTCCATTTTTCCTGAACAGCATTTAAATGACCTCAGAGAGATCATCCTATCTTGAGGCTTTCAAACCTTTGCCTTTTTTATATTTTATTGGTTTATGCCCCAAGTCTGTAAGGTTTTGAGGCAGCCATTTCAGCCATTTGTGTAAAAAATGTACCTTTATTACAGTTGGGGAGTACTGCTTGATTGGTTCTTTTTGCCCCCCTTCTTCCTCCCACCCATACTTCCAATTTAATTAGCTTCCAGGATTCTAATAATAAAAGGCTTCAAAGTCCAGAGTATCTGTGAATATGTGCCACCAGTGGGAACTAAAATTAGTTTTTGTTGAGGTACAAGATAAATGAGAAATATTAAGGATGACCTTCCATCTGTGTAGAGAAGACCAGAAAAGTAACTTATATATCAGGTATATATATATACACACATATGGGTGTGTCACATCACATGGCTCTCTACAAACCAGGTTTTTAATTGTGGTGGAATTAGAGGGACTCTTTTAGCTAGACACTTGTACATGTTTGTCTGCAAAGACGCCCAACAAACTTACTTCCCAACATCAGAAATTAGAAGACATGCCATAGATACAAAAATATATGTTCTCAGAGATTACATAAACTAAACAGCCTCACTTTCTGCTACACACACCAGCATTTTCTCTTCTACCTTATGAGCAGCATTATGTCTGGGATTTATGCCAGCCAGTACAGGTACATTTAATTCTTGGCTGGCAGAGGGTCTAAGAAAATAGGGTTACAGTCATATCTCTGTGGGTTGTGCATTTTACTAATGGAAAGTCACTGCTTTCAGAGTCTGTACACTGACCAGGCTCTAGACACCAGCTCATAGGGCTGCAAGTAGCACTCCTTATTATCTTTCTTGGGAATGTAAGCATTTGCTTTTCATATTCATATCTTTAATGAGTGGATTTGACCAATGATATAAGAATAGCTTCCTCATATGATCATTCTGCATGGCTACGTAGCCTCCCTGTAGACTCAGAAGGGTCTGTGGAGTCTTTCAGAAGACTAAAAAGTGAATACTGACATATTAACGGATTCTCGCAGAAACTCCACATAACCTTTGAAATCGTTCTTCCTGTTCTTGTTGACACATCACCCACCAGTTAAGTGTTACATCCTCCTCAACTCAAGTTTATGCCTTAACCCTATTTGTTAATTTACCTGGTGGCTGACAAAATGGTGGGCTCATTGAACCTAAGAATGACAAAGAAATTAAGCTTGAAGGGTGGAGGGAAGAAAGAGGCCCTATATTTTAATGTTGTCTGGCCTGGGATTTTATGCTCTTGCTTCTTGATCCACTTTAGCATGGAAGGAAAGGGACGTGGTATTTCTATGTGGCTTTGTATTAGCAGTTACTGGCCCTTAATGCCCTTGAGTTTTCTCCTTATATTTTGTTTAGCTATCCATTCATCTGTTAAAATTCCCACAAGTATTACTTCAAGTAGGAAAAAAAATGTTACAGTTTTAGGTTGTAGTAGCCAGAGTTACACATGGGCCTTTTTCTTTCTTTCTTTCTTTTTTTTGTAAAGGATGCTCTTTTTGGGGTGGGGAGTACGTTGTTTTCCCATTTGAATTTGTAAATATTATACAGCCTTTGCTATGGAGGCCCAGCAATGTTCCTATGTAACTCTGTATTTTACCTCTTCCTGACTTCAGGTTTCAAAATGGTATACTTGGTGTCATAGCCCTAGAAAGTCATGCAGGTTTCAGCTTATTCTGTGATATAAATATATCTCAAATCAAAATGAGTAAAAGCCCTTTTTGCTTTGGATCTATATGGGGTTAAATATATATTCACTCAGAGAACTAAGATCCTTTTAAGAGACCATCACAAGGAAGGCCTAAATCTGGCTGTGTGAAAGGTGAGTTTCCAAGGCAGCTCTAGACTGTGCCATTTTAAAATGCTTTTATTGTTGTTTTGTAAATTATCTAATTTAAAGAGGGAAATAGTCCTCAGAGTTTTTACTTAATCTATATAGTGCTGTTTCTTGAATGAATCTTTTCCTTACAGCAGTGCTTCTCAAACTATAATGTAAATCTATATAAATCCTATCTATCTCCTGGAGATCTTGTATAAGGCAGATTCTGATTTAGTTGGTCTGAGATGAAACCGAGGAGTCTGCATTTCTAACAAGCTCCCAGCTCCATGGGCCATATTTTGCATAAAACCGTAGAATTTCTGGGACCACTGTGAACCACTTCAGTTTGGTGCTTGAATCATAGCTATTGGTAAACCCAGATGCCTTTTTGTCTTGACTTCAGCAGTAAACACACTCCTGGAAAGAGGGCTCCTCCTCTACCCCAAATTGAGGGAGGGCAAGGAACTCCTGAAATTATTTTTGGATAATAATAAAAGAAGGAAAGGTCCTTCTTTTACTCTGTAGGAAGAATAGTGTTGCTGGGAGTGGTAGCTTTTCACCCAGGCAATGTAAAATTTGGCCTGGTTTAGAGTTACATGTTCACCTGGCAAGGAGCACTCAAGTTACCTTAGTGTTCACTTCAGAAGGGCGGACAGCAAGGCCTCTATATGGTTTCTGCTGCTTTTATCATTGCTGTCTAAGGGAACCCTACCCATAGGGGTCAGTGGTGTGCAGCTAATGAAATACGGCAGCTCCAAAACTTTTATTTAAGCTTTTGGGGTTCTCAACTCCAGCTGCATAGTTAGTCCCACATTAGTACCATATTTAAAAAACAAAACAAAACAAAAACTATCAGGGCACCTGGGTGGCTTAGTTGGTGAAGCGTCTGACTCTTGGTTTCAGCTCCAGTTGAGATCACAGGGTCATGAAGTGGTCCCCCACATCTGGGCTCTGCACTCAGTGGGGAGTCGGCTTGAGATTCTCTCCCTCTCCCCCTGCCCCTATCCCCACTCGTGTACACTCAGACACACACTCTGTCTCTCAAATCTTGAAAACAAACAAACAATGAAAAACTGTCAGTGTTTGGGCCCAATCCTAGAGCAGTTAAACAAAATTTCTGGGAGACAGGACCTAGACGTTGATATTTTAGAAAGATACCCAGGTTACTTTAATTTTGCATCTAAGATTCAGAACATTGAACCGAAGGAAGTTCCAAATGGAGTTAGGTAGACATGTTAAAAAATGATCTCTAAGTCAAGGCAATGATTTCTACTGAAGAATTACACTCTGGTAAGCCTTTTCACTACCGCCTACAAAAACAGACCTCTCTGACTTTACCTCTGTTCCTTCCCCTTCTCCCTAGGACATTTTTACTGTATTTTGCATTTAGGTAGTCCAGCCTATCAGAAATTGGCCAGAAATTGAATTTGACCAATTTAGATTTAGTTGCTCAGTCCCGGGGTTCTTTTTACCTTTGCTCACTTTGTATAATTGGAGACTGAAAATTGTTTTTGTATTTTAGATTGTCACCTGTTTTTCTGTTTTTTTTTTTTTTTTTTTTTTTTAAGAGAGAGTGTGCACACAGGGTGGGGAAGAGGGGCAGAGGGAGAGGGGGAGAGAGAATCCCAAGCAGGCTCAGTGCTCAGTGCAGAGCCCAACATGGGGCTCGATCTCACAGTCGTGAGATCATGACCTGAACCAAAATCAAAATCAAGAGTTGGACACTTAACCGACTGAGCCACCCAGGTGCCCCTCTGTACTTTTGTCTTAAAACTTCCAAATTCACTAGAGTATAATTTTTCTTCTCTTTTCATATTCTGGTGATCCTTCCATTAGATCTTGTTTACCTTCTTTCATTGTTGTACTTGTAAAATTTTGAGATTTAGTGAATTGAGGCTTTTTCTAGAATTGTCATTAAGGAAGTACTTATCTATTTATTTATTTACTTTATCATCATTATTTGCCACAACATACCTGAAGACCCCAGCCTTCTTCCATCAATAATAGTGACTCATAACAGCTGTGATTTTTAAACCAAAAAAAGTGAGTGGGGATATTGCTGTGATGTAAGGAAAACACACACACACTCCATGCCTCCTAGTTGATTCTTATTTATTTTGGAGACAGGCACCTTTGAAAATCATTGATTTAGGCAGAGCTTCAGATTTTAAAAATGGAATGCTTTTTCATTACAGGACTCAAATCAAAATGGATTTTCTCCATATTCTTTTCAATCTCCTTACTGAAATATCCCTATTTTTAGTTTCTGCCTGCTTTAGCGTATTCTCTTTTGCTTGAACTCTGTGGATAGTTTCTTCTGTTACTACAAACTTAACTGTCCCCTTGATGTGGATTGAATTGTAGTGAAACTTACATGGTTGATGTGTTCTACATGTAAAGCGGGATAGTATACTATTTAAGTGTGGACTTAAAAAGTTGGTTGTCTTTTTCTTTCTTAGTTTCAGAAGTCTTGTATGGGTCTTTTGATGCCTCTGATATGGAATCTAAGAAAGTGCTCATTCTGGGTAGTGTGACTTTTCTGACAGTGCAAATCCTGGTTTGGTGTAGTATGGGAGGTGACCTGAGCTTGTTTGCCATATGCCTCTTCTCACTATACCTCCCGGGTGCTCTGGGTATATGAGTTTGGGCTGGCTTGCCATTAGGAGGCATATGAATGTTTGAGAAAGACTAGAAGTGTATTCATTTGTGAAAGAGGGACTGGATAAGTTCATACATCTGTCTTGCAGCAAAAGGAACAAGATTGTTCATCTTACCCTCTTGTAAGCAGA